GTAGCATGGGACAGTGATGGTCAGTCAGGGATCATTGTCCCCAGGGCACATCGGGCCATTCTGGAGACATTTCTGATGGTCATGGCTTTGGGGTGCTCCTGGCATTGGGAGCAGAGGGGGCAGAGAGCAGGACATTGTCCACCCCCCGCCAGTGCACAGGAGGGCCCTGCCCAGAGAATCATCTGGCCCGAAATGTCTGCTGTGCTGGGGCTGGGAAACTGTGGGATGGAGCTACGGAGTGGCACTGAAGGACGTGAGAGCCCAGTGATCCCCTCCCGTACAGAGGCCCCACCTGCACCATTTCCATGAGCCGACACAGGCCCTTGCATCCGTAATGACTGCTTAAAGATTACATGCAAAAATATTTCGACATAAATTATGTCTAAGTAATCAGATTATTGAAGTCCTCAACTGATAATTTTACCTGAATTTATGAATAAAATGAGTTTTCCTTTCACTAATTCCAGAGTGATGCAATTCCCATTCCGTCCGTCCCTGTGGAATAGAATCCCATCACTCTGCAGAGTTTTAAATTTCAAAGAAATGACGTCTTTTCCTGGACTCCTGGTATTTTGAATAAATCGGTAAAGCAGGGAACTTTCTCCATCAAAATCAATCACTTCTGATCCTGCAGAAGAGATAAAAGTTGTGCTAAGTGTTAGCATGCTGCCATTAACATTCTTAAACATACAGAGTCTTGTAGGCACACGCAGGCACACACACAGGCACACACACAGGCACATGTACAAACCAAAATTAAACGTAACAAAACTATGCACACACACAGACACATAGACATGTGCACAGAAAACCACTCATACGCACAGGCACGCAGACATGCACATGTATACACAAAACCACACAGGCATACAGACACACATACAGGCACACAGACATCTGCATGTATACACAAAACCACACACACAGGCACACAGACACACACACACAAAACCATGCACCACAGGCACACGGACACACATACAGGCACACAGACATGCGCATGTATACACAAAACCACACACAGAGGCACACAGACACACATACAGGCATGTATACACAAAACCATGCACACAGGCACACACAAACACAGAAAATGTGCAGCACACACACACAAAGGCACTCACAAGCACACACACACAGGCACATGAGCACACAGGCGCATACACGTGCCCACAAAGAACGCGTTTCCAGTCCGGCCATCAGACGAGGCGTCTTTCCTTCCAGCAGGTGTTGATGCACCTAAAGATACATTTTTTTCTAAGTCCGCCCTTGGGAATCTCTGCGCCGCTGCGTGAACGTCTACGGCCTCAATCGTGGACGCCCCTCACACTGGCCAGTGTCGACCACACGGAAACTCTCGGTGCCGCCTTGAAAAGTTTTCATTTTCCGGCGACTGGTGAACATTCAAACGTCTCCGGGTAACGAGGGTGCTGCTCCTGGCAGGTCTGACTTCTCCTAATTCTCTGGTCCATCCTCCCTGGAAGGGCTGAGTTTTCCCTCCGTGATAGATCCTCACCTGGTGACACCCCCTCACCCCGGACTCATCGCAGGAGACCCAGGCACACGTTAGGGGCCCTCCACGGAAGGGCGCGTCCTCCTCCCACCGAGGCTGGGGGTGACCACACGAGCTCTGTAAAGGGCCCTGTCCTCATGGGCAAGGGCTGCTGGGCGTCCTGCGGTTTCCTGGCCCAGGCGCTGCCACGGTTCTCCACCCGGACAGCATCTCACGTGCTCTCGCTCCAGGCCGCATCACTCATTCCTCTCTGGAAAACGTCAGGGCATCGCTGACACCAAGGGAGCAGCTGCTGTGTCCGGAAGGAGCTGCAGTCCCTTCCGTGGTGCACAGTTGGGGAAGGGGAAGGAAGGAACGCCTCCTTGGGAAGTGGCCGTGCGTCCTGTGGGGTCACAGGGAAGCCTCGGAATTCTCAGAACAGGGTGGTGTTTGCAAAGGGACCATTTGTGAAGTCCTGTGGTTGGGAGCCTGGCAAGGTTTGGCTCTGTCTCCACCCAAACCTCAGAATGTTATTGAACTGTTATTGAGTGTTATTGAAATGATATCCCCTGTTGGAGGTGGGGCCTGGTGGGAGGTGACTGGATCCTAGGGCGGGTCCCTCATGATGATTTAACACCATCCCCTCCATGGGGTCCTCGGGATAGTGAGTGAGCTCTCCCGAGATGCTGTTGTTTAAAAATGCACAGCGCCTCCCCCGCCCCTTGCTCCTGCTTTTGCCATGTGAGACGACTGTTTACCATTTGCCCTCCACCATGAGTAAAAGCTCCCCAAGGCCTCCCCAGAAGCAGATGCCGCCATGCTTCCTGTACAGCCTGCGGAACGTGAGCCCATTAAACCTCTTCTCCTTATAAATTACCCAGACTTGGATCGTTCTTTACAGCAATGCAAGAACAGACTAACACAGATCCCCAAGCAGTGGGGCAGTGGGCAGGACCGGGAGGGAGAGTGGCCACCAGGGGACCCCGCGGGGCCATCCCGAGTGGCCCGGCTGCAGTCACAAGGTGACCTCTTAGGCAGGGAGCCCAGAGCACAAAGGGCTCAGCCGCCCTCTCCATGACCTCACTCCCTCCGAGGGCTCCCCACACTCCAAACCCAACCTGCAGGAGGGTCTCTGATGCACACAGGGACCCGCAGAGCCTGCTACAGCCAGACACTCACACACACCCATGCACAAGCGCACAGACACAGAAACAAGCATGCACAGGCACACACAGAGACACACAAGCACAGACATGCACACACACAAATGCACAGACACATCACAAACATACACACATGCACACACACATGCACACACACAAACACACATGCACAGGGATGCACACACATACACACAGAAATGTTGGGAGAGAAGCTGAGGCAGGGCTTCCGTGTCTGCTAGACATGCTGGCTCCTTGCTTCCAGCACTCCCATGATCTCTCCTTCACTTGATACAGTTTCCTTTCAACCCCCACATCCTCACTAGCTGTTTCTTTGAGCACCAATAAACAGTGTGGGTTCCCAGAGCTCCGGTGCAGCCTCCACACTGGCCATGGCCCCCGGTCCCACTTTCTCGAACTGTCTTTTTCTTATTCCTTTGACTCCACCGGACTTCATCGCCCGCAGGACCTGGCGTTGGTCTGATCACCGCGAAGCACAAACACACACGCGCGCACGGGAGAGCTCGTATGTTACATGTGGACTTTTCAGGAAGGGGTTTTCTAAAACCTGAAAGCCTCTCGGGGGTCCTCAGGGTACAGTGTTTGGGAACTCATCTCAGGCCTCTGGTTGAGGGTCCCCACTGCCCACGGTGGGGTGACAGCGAATCGCCCGCCTCCCTCCTGTGTGAAGCCCACGCCTGTCACCAGCTGTACCTAGAGCCGTGCCCACTCCTCAGTCACCGGCTTCCTCTTTGTAAAGCTGGTGCTCCCCACTGTTGAGTGGCTGCGATAACACCAGCAGCAGCCTGGCCCCCACCTGTGGCTGCTACAGAAATGCACCTTTCCCAGGCTCCAGGGAAGGCGGCTGAGGCTGTGTCTCCCAGCTCCTGTGTGCCCTGGATGTGGAAGGCCTTCCGTGGGTGGGTGCACAGATCCACACAGTTCACACCATGGAGGACCCTGTTAACTGCCAGCATTTTCCTTTTCAGGGTGGGTTTCTCTCCCTCCCACGCTGTTTTATTTCCTCTCGAGGTTTCCCTAATGGAAACTGACAGCAGCGGACCCGGGTCCCACAGCAGGCAGCAGGCAGGTCCGCGGACCCCGGGCCCACAGCAGGCAGCAGGCAGGTCCGTGGACCCCGGGCCCACAGCAGGCAGCAGGCAGGTCCGCCGCGGCTCCGGGTCTGTTTTTCTTGTCCTTATGAAGCGCACCTTCTCATTTTAAACAGCTTTGCCGCAGTGTTGATTGTAGACTCATGATCAGAGCTGGAGAACCTGTGCTCCCTCCGCGGCAGGCGGCGTTTCACCAGATGAGCCTCACGCCTGAAAGCTGCTGTTGCTGGGTCCACCCGAGCCTGCCCGCCCTTCCTGGTTTGGCGTCCGACCTGGAGCAGGTCTCGGGGGCTGCCTCGGGCCCGGGCAAGCCCTCTCCTGGGCCACCCCTCTGCTCTCTCCACCTCGCCGAGGAGGCACTCGCCTGCACATCCACTTGTCCATCAGGAGATTCACAAGCACCTGCCACATGGCCCTGGGTGGTTTCAGTTGCCATGGGGATTGATCAGGTTGCCACGGGGACACAGCCAGTTGCCAGGGGAGCATGTAGAATGACACCTGGCCCGGAGGGGCTTGCCGGGGACCCGCATGCTAATGGAGGAGTCGGTGGGTAACAGAGGGTGGGGTGAGGGAAGACAGCAGAGAGGCACCTGCCAAAGCACCCCTGTGTAAGGAGTTCAAAGGTGGGACATGTCCCCACTAAACTGGTGACTGGTGGGCGAAGGGTCAGCGCTGGGCACAGGGAGCCTCAGGACACGGTGACGCTCCGTTCTGTGGTCTGGGGATGCTTGTGATGTTGTGAAAACTTATGCAGCTGCACATATTTACGCTGTGTGCACATTTCTGTATGTACCTCAGAAAACTTATTCCCAAAACGTAATGACTGAAGGTTGGGTTGGGGACTGTGCAGGCATCGGTGGGCAGGTTGGGCGGGGGGCCTGACGCAACTGCAGACGACTCAGGGAACCTGGGCCCCAAGGAGCTAAAGAGACCGATGAGGAACAGAAATCCCGGAGTTTTCAGGATGTCAGATAAGAGAAGAAACAGCTGAAAGGCGGAAGCGTCCGTCTCTCGTAAGAAAACAAAACTGGCTGAAATGGGTTGGAACCCAGTGGCTGGCTGAGTCCACACGGAGAGAACTTGCCGACATCACAGCCTGAATTTCCAACACAGGTTTCGTGGTTCCCTCAAGTCTGCACGTGTGACCCACCAGGTAGCGTGAAGAGATCACGGCGCCTGCCCCGCGACAGTCCAGACTCCGCTTCCTTCCACCCATCACCCGCCCACCCCAGAGTCCACCCCCTGAGGTTCCTCCAGTGAAAATGCTGCCTGGAAGCCACGTGTGTGGGAGCCTGTGTGTACTGGGGCCTGTGTGTGTGTTGGGGCCTGTGTGTGTTGAGGCCTGTGTGTGTTGAGGCCTGTGTGTGT